AACTGAAATGTATTGTTCTCATCAATACCTATCGGTTGAAACAAAAAATTTGGCACGCTCCCTTTAACGCCCACAAACCGCCCAAACCTGTGACGCCCACAATTTTAACGCTAGATAAAAAATTTTAACTAAAATGTATTGTTCTCGTCAATACCTATCGATTGATCAAAAAAAAAACTACCACGCCCACTCTAACGCCCATAACGTTTAAATCTGTCTACCGCCGGTAGGTGGCGCATTTTAATCTCGCTTTGCTGCTTGCATATCTCCATTTCCCTTTGGTCCCTTTAGCTGAGTAACGGGTATCTGATAGTCGAGGTACTCGACTATAGCGTTCTTCGTTGTTTTATTTTACGAACTCCAGAATAAATCTTTAATATACAAACTTTTTTTATCAGTGGTATGTAAAATCAGGTTGATATGAAAAAAATATATCACTGTGGACGGCAGTCCATGTAGAAACGAAGCGCACCATAAGAGTATGCGAAGCCGATTACTAAATATACGCGAAGAAATAAAAGTCTGATGTTATAGTCGGATTGCATGGTGCAACACAGTAAGCAAGAAGCGCACTGAACGGGCACAATTTAGAAAGTATATTTATTTAGCATAATACATTTTCATCACAAAAGTAGATACCAGAACTTTTGTGTGTTGAAGGTGCGATCGTAACTAGTTTTGTACCTCGTTAAGAGATGTTTTTATTTGATATACTGTTTTATACTTAAGTACACTCAGAAAAAAATGAAGTATTTCGTGCTGGAATCATGTATTTTCTTTGTCAAAACTTCGCCAAGCATCGAAAATCCTGATCTCGAGAACAAAATGCAACTTAGAACTACGAATTTTCAAGGCAGAAAATTCTCGACTTACGATTTTAGAACCTTTCGATCTGCAATCAAAATACATATATTTTGAATTTAAATTCGGTTTGAATTATGTGCAAGTAAGAAAATTCGAATTGGAAACTGAAAGTAGATAAGTTACATTAATCTTATATACTGAGCACTTTCAGAATAAACATTTGGGAATTTTTAGAGTTGATCGTTATTTAAATCCAAATTATGCTTAGTTTGAGACCATTCCAGCACGAACGTTCATAAAATGTTAGGCATGAAATCGTTCTTAAATCAAGACTGTTTGCACTTGATCTTAGCACTTCGTTTTTTCTGCGTGTATCCCAAAAAGCGCATCGGAACTGAAGTCGTCGCTCTGACATCGCATATCATGTTCCCTTCTGGTTATCTGCATATTTTTCCCCACCCCCATGTCAGTTGTATCACTAAGCCAGCCCGCATAGTTTACAGGGCCTCAGTTCCGTCTAGTACATAACACTCACCGTAACTGAGCAATCGAACGGACGGAGTATCAATGACAAATCAGGGCGTGACTAATCGCCTAATTGCAAAACAAACCGCAGCCGAAACAGAAACGGCCTTGCCAGCCCCTCCCCCTCTCTTGGCCCATTCGAAAAGCCCAGACCCTTAGCGATAAAAATGCAAAATTATAATTAGAAAGCGATTAGCCAGTGGACCCATGGGATTCAGATTGCGCACTTTATGCAGGCTCTCCTCCCCTCCGAGGAATCACAGAACTGAGATTGAATTACACTCAGCGAAAATGCGGGTGGAGGTCGAGGATGGAATATCGGGAATTGTCGAGATACCCCGAGAGAGCATTATGCAGATAAACTTTGAGTTTAGAAGGACCACAAATCCCTGAATGCAACCGAGGGCCCGAAATGGGTTGCAATGGATTAGTGTGTGACTAGGGTTTTATTGGTGATTATGATAATATGCACAGCGATCTATAGGGACTTATTGTCGGGCCTGTTTGTTTAGCCCTTTATTGCCCAAAAACGAGGATGCGGACCCGAGCATCCGCTTGAGGATTTGCTAGGCGTGGATTTTAGAGGTTCATTATCCGAGCTCAGGTAAGCACTTTGACCTGCCAGTGGTTCTGGGTTTTCCCACTTTCCGGTGCAGGTGGACGTCCCGTCAGCTTATCTCCGGGTCGCCAGGCAGTCTGAGAATTTGCATGTAGTGCCCCTGAAAGTTACCTGTGGTATTTATCTGGTACCTGCTCGTAAATCATCGAGCCTATCGATCAAATCACCGGCCTATAAATTCTTGCGCCTGCCACACATCCATCAAATGCTCGTTTTTTCCATCTTATGCCAGTTGAAAATTGTTAACCATTTTGGTTTGGGGCCCACAGCTAATTGGATTTTTGTCAACTAATCCGATTTGTTTATGTACTCGCATCTCGGAAACGAAAAGCCATCAGCCAGCCGAAAAATAAAACTTGTAAAACCAGGCCCGTCTCCGAATTGGTTACAGTTTTGGGCTTACGAATCAACTCGATTTCGTAGCATGTCTCACTCGGCTAACCTACATTTCAGAAAATGTGTCAACCGGCCTAAAACGAAAACACGAACCACTCAATTCTACTACTTACTGCCCAGACTGAAGTCGAAGTAACGACATTTGTTTGCCCACTTTTCGCCATTGTTCAAGTTTAATTAGTTGTTCAACTCTATCTATCTATCTTTGCATCCCTCTGGCCGTCCCTGTCTGGCATTCGGCGAGCTTTAGCTGGCGCAGTTGAAGGGTTGAAGGCAGTCCCCAAAAGAAAGGGAGAGTAAGCACAGATGGGTTGGATGTATCAGATTAGAAAACCCCACGCAGAAATACTTGTGCAAAGTTCTGAGAAATAACCAAGTCAAAAGCCAAGCACACAATTTATTCAATCTCCAGGCTTGCTCTTTAAATTTAATTAATAAATCAAATTAAAGATGGTAAACACTTGACAAGTCTGTCAACCAGCTTCACCGAAGAAACATACCCAGTTTCAAAACAAAACTATTATGGCTAATTAATGAACTAAATCAAAAGAGCCAAAACAAAGCCAACCGAAAAACTCTCACGATCGGCGATGCTGACTCAGCTGCAGCCAAAAGGCAACGCTGAGCACCTGTCCCCACTATAAAGCCACCAAAAAAAAACAGATCGAAGTCTAAAACCACCAAATAAACAGACACAAAACAAAATCTTGTTAAACGTGTGATTAGCTCTTAATTTTAATGGCAAGCCAACAGCAATAAAAATGTTGTCATCGGGATTTCGTTTAATTTTCTCACTGATTGCAACAAATGACAGAACCACAAAAAATTAGTTGGAGAAATAAAATTAAAATAGAACAGAATACAGAACAGAGAACAATTTTTTAAGCTAATTAAAAGTAAGCAAACACAGATGGCTGACAAGAGAACAAAGTAAATAAATTTCGAAATAAATCCAAATCAAATATCAGGCTCAGCTGACTGAAACGATCTCTCACTGCCGATTTGCATGTCAAACGACGTCGCATTTTTAGCTAGATTTTATCTGTTGCAGCTTAGCTCAAATGACACCCATATAGCATTAATAAACTTTTCAAAACACTACAAAATTATGCATGTATCTCGAACATGGGACTCGGCAATCTCGCATTTCAACACACATAAACAGGCCTCAAAAATCGAAGATAAGAGGGGCCCACTAAAAAGTCTGTGAGTATTATGAAAATTGCGACGAATGCAAATCGACGCTCGTTTTTAATGTATGCTAACTATTTAAAGCACAGAAAATTATAATGGGCATTTTAAAACGGAGGAAAGGGTTAAATATTTTTCATCAACCCAGGGCAGGGGTTAAGCACTCGTAGAGAGAAATAATTTAGATGTAAAATTTTATAATTAAAAATTTTTGCCCACTAATTGATTGCAAAGTCGGAATAATGGAAGCAAGCAGAGGAAAGGTGGTGAAAATCGGAAATATATTAATTGAAATTCCGCGGCAGCTTTCATTTTAAGCCGAAGCATTTACTGAAATTATAATAATCAGCAGCTTTTGAATGACACAAAAAATGTAGTAAACAGTGTATAACGTTTGCACATAATAAATAAATTGTTTTGTAGCCGAATTTGCTGTTCGGCGATCTTTGTTTTTGAGCCCTGTCGCTCTGAATTTGCAATTTTTATTAATAATACATATCATAATTTTTATGAGCTTTTTGAAATGTTGGCTAGCGCGTGGGCCAGATGTGATGGTCTGGCCAGCATAAATTAGCCATATTAAGTGGATATTATGGGGTTTGTAGGCTCATTCACCGTCGGTCGAGTGATTGGACAATCTGGGTCCCTGGTGAGCGGCTCAGAAAAATCATATATATATCGGCGTGCATATTATCAAAATTCCAAATAATAGTGATTCAACCTTGATGCATGATCAGTGGAATTAGTTCGGACGGTGTCGGCTACAAAGCTTCGCCTTCCGGTCACGAAAATTGCAGTTAATCATTGACAAAATGCACTTAAATAAATATTGAAATGCCAGATTACAGCATGCGATAGACGTGAAGTCCCCAGTTAATAGGTGTAGCTGGAGTTAGAAATATCAAATATATGTACAACATTTTATGGGAATCTGATTTCACGTTTTGTTCTAATTTGTCAAGGTTTTTAATGACTTCCACTAACACTTTATTTATGTTGACAATGCGTGAATTTCATTTGAGTTTTACTACTCTAATCGCCTTTGTCTTAGGAATTACGCATCCCACTTAACAATAAGCGGAGCCATAAAAACAAACTGGAATGTGAAGCATCTTTACACACTAAAAACCTGCATATCGAGTCGCTATGCAAAATTCACGGATCAAAAGCTTACATCGCTTTTCCCAGTTTAGCCGACGGTAAAAAGTAAAAATAAAAATTTTAAATTTTTGTAAAGATTTTTCTTTTATTTGTTTTTTTGTGGGTTTTTGTCGATTTTGTTTTTATTATTTCCAGGTGCTTGGCAATGATTTTGTTGAATTTGTTTGTTTTCTCTGCCTTGCTCCGCGTTTCACAATCACGTTTTGCACGCTTCTTGGTTTTGTTTTTACTAAATTTGCTTTAGGTTTACTAACATTTTTCTGGTTGTGTTTGTATTATGCAGTAGATGCTGTCTTCCTTTCGATTTATGATTTAATAATAATAATAATTTTGTTTTTCGCTTTATTACAATTAATTATGGTTGTCTTGTCTTGTATTTGTAAGCATAATTAATAATTAAATTGTTTATATAATAGATAATAATTATAATTACTTAATGCGTAAGAGAATTTATAAAATAGAATGTTTTTGACATTTTCCTCTGCTCCTCTGAAATGTTTTCATCGCATCAATTGTCTTTACTCCTATTAAACTGTCTTCGCCTCTGCGCCTCGGCTGCTTCCCCTGTCGAACGCACATTTAATGTCTGAGAATGTTTTGTACAGCAAAAGTGGGTGAAAATGAAATGCTAAATCAAACGACTTGTTGTCCCAGTAATTGGCAACAATTTATTTGTATCACACAATTGTTTTAGCTATGCAGCGAGCGGAAAATAAAGGAAATCGAAGCGAACAGTGTGGAATGCAAGTGAGTTGTCATCTTCCCATTGTGGTACAACAGTGCGTATGCTTCATTTAAATGACTAAACATTAACCCTATTCATTTATTTATGTATGCGTGTGTGTTACTCTGCAATTCGAATTAAACCTGCTTAAGAACTAAGGCTAAAATTGTCTCTGTGTGTGGTTGGGGTGTGGGTTTGGTTGGGGGTGTGCGTATCCTAGGGCTTTAGTTAATATTTTCAATAATTTACAATGTGGATATATCCAAGAGGCCAGCACTGGCGGCCACCGCTGCCTCGTGGCCAGGATGGTAGTGATGGTACAGCTGGTGCTGCTGCTGCTGCTGCTGCGGGAGATGTTGCTGCTGCTGCTGGTAGTGCTGTTGCTGCTGCTGCTGGTAGTGCAGATGGTGGTGCTGCTGCTGCTCCTCGAGATGTTGCTGCTGCATGTCCAGCATGCTGGCCGAGGCGGCGAAGGAGCTGCCTGCGACGGCGGCAGCAGCAACAGCCGCCGCGGTCGCCGCCGCAGCAGCAGCAGCGGTGGCGGAGGGGGCGGCAGCGGTGGGGGTCAGCTGGTAGGCGGCTGCCAAGGCGGGTGAATGCGCGGCGTTGTGGCCACTGGAATGCGCCGAGGAGCGGCCGCCCGACGACCCCGATGCCGTCGGACTAGGCCGTCCGTTGAGCAGCTGCTGCTGTTGTTGCTGCTGTTGCTGCTGCTGCTGCGGGGCCGTCGGCATGTACGGCGGCAGTGGGGGCGACACGCTCACACTGGAGCCTGCTGCTCCATAGGCGCTGGCCATTTCTCACATGTGTGCCAGCGGCGCCATTGTCCGCAGCGATTGCTGGTGCTGCAGGTGGTGCTGCTGCTGCTGCTGCTGCATCGTCTGGTGTTGCTGCGGGATCTGCTGGTGCTGCTGCGGGAGGTGTTGCTGCGGGAGGTGCTGCTGCTGCTGCTGCTGTTGCATCGCCTGGTGCTGCTGCTGCAGGTCGGGCGAGTCAGTCTGGTAGTGCAGCAGGTGGCGCTGCTCGTCCGGCAGATGGTACATGTTCATCAGGTGATTCAGCTCCCCTCCGCCGGCGGCTGCTGCCGCTGCTGCTGCCGCCGCCGCCGCTGCCGCCGAGCTGTACTCCCGCTTCATGATGTGGTTGTTGTTGATGTTGTTGTTGTTGTTGAGCGCTATGGCACTGGGGCTGGGCGACACGGGCTCGGACTTGATGCTCGAGTCGCTGGGGCTGTGGCTCTGGCAGGAGACCTGGCCGCCGCCGCCTCCTCCGCCGTAGGGAGCCGGGCTGCCCGGCTGCTGCTGCAGACTGCTGCCGCCGTAGGGCGACGGCGATCCCGGCTGCTGCAGACTGCTGCCGTACGGCGAGGTTTGGCCGCCCGACACCGTCTGGTACATCGCGTACCCGTTGTTGTACATGTGGCCCATGTCGTACCGCTGCGCCGCGTAGTGCTGGCCCATGTAGGAGGTCTGGTAGGCGGCCGCTCCGGCCGGATCCGCGTGCATCATGTAGCCGTTGGGCATGTATCCGTTGGGCGCGTTCATCTGGTACATATCCTGGCGCGCCTGCTGCGCGGCCGCTGCCGCCGCCGCCGCCGCCGCTGCCGCACTGCCTCCGCTGCCGTTAAGCGACTGATTCTGGCCCGGCTGACCCTGCACCCGTGTGGGCGTCACCGGCTCGCCCGGCGCCCCGCCGCCCACCGCCTGACCGGGCATCAGTCCGCCCATCGGGTACTTCTCCTTGGTCTTGGTCAGCGTTTTGGTCTTGCGGCGCGGCCGGTACTTGTAGTCCGGATGCTCCTTCATGTGCACGGCCCGCAGCCGCTTGGCTTCGTCGATGAAGGGCCGCTTCTCCGACTCCGAGAGGTCCTTCCACTGGGCGCCCAGGCGCTTCGAGATCTCCGAGTTGTGCATCTTCGGGTTGTCCGAGGCCATCTTCCGCCGCTGGCCCCGGGACCACACCATGAACGCGTTCATGGGCCGCTTCACGCGGTCCGCGTGCTGCTGGTTCTTGTTGGCCGTGGCGCTGTTGTTGTTATTGTTGCTGGAGCCGCCCGTGAGGCTGCTCAGGGCGGACCCGGCGGCCAGGTGCTGCTGCTGGGAGTGCTGCTGCTGCTGCTGCTGCTGCGTGTGCTGCTGGTGGCTGACGGGCGAGGTCATGTGGTGGCTGCCAATGCTGCTCTGGGTGGGACTCAGTTCGCTGGAGCTGTGCAGCGGGGAGCTCTGCTGCTGCTGCTGCTGCTGCTGACCCACCTGGCTGCCGTTGAGGGTGTTCGCCATCGAGGACTGCAGCGAGCTGAGCGGGTTGGGGCTCTGGCTGGCCGCGATGTGGGCGCTCATGTGGTGGTGGTGGTGGTTGTGGTGGCTCAGCTGCGAGTGGGTCAGGTGCGACTGGCCCAGGTTCATCAGCGGGGCCAGCGCCGAGTAGGGCGATGCCGCATGGCCGTGCAGCGCGGCACTGGTGTGGTGCGGCGGCATGGTGGCGTGCAGCAGGCTGCCCTTCATATCCGATTCCATGGTCAGCATCTTGCGCGGACTGCTGCTGCTCCTGCTTCCAGTTTTCAGTGGGCTGAAGAGGGTCTAGTGGGGCTCCTTGGATCCGCTCGGTTCTCGCTTTGCTGCAGTTACTCTGTGGTTGATTGGGCTACTCCTTAGTTAGACACTTTGAACATTTTGTGGGAAACCATGTTGCACTTGTGATTTTTATCTTGGCTATAGTTTGCGGCTGCTCTCGCTTAGAATTGCATAACAAATTCGTATTTTTCGATTACTTCGCGTATAAAAATTTCGGCTCTCTTTGGGTGCTTAGCTAAACAGCTCGAGTTGCTTTTTGCCACAGTCACAGGTATTTGCGAACAAACAGGAGGCGGCAAAACACTTGCAAATTGTTGTTAAAACCCGACGCGAAAGTGCCTCAGAGAGTGGTTGTGTTATTTATTTTGTTGGGTTTGGTTTTATTTTGCGGTACGATTCTTATGAGCGGGAACACCGAAAAAATACCTCCACACTGGGCGGAATTGAGCACCTTTCTGTTTCTCCGGACGACGGCGAAACCTGTTCGAGGTGCGTTCTACGCTGCTTTTCCCTGGCTACAATACGCTTGGTTTCTGCTGCTCTGGTGACGAGGCACACGAACCGATGCGATGCGAAACGATACGATACGATGCGACCTGGTACGAGACGAAACCGAAATCGAGGCAACGAGCGCCGAGTTGCTGCTGGCCTGGAGTTGCTGCCGTGCTGCTGCTGTTGCTGCCGTGCGCTGCGTGTTGCGTGTTGCGTGCGCGTGTGCTGACGACGGCGAATGCGAGAGTCGAATGAGAGACGGTCTGCCGCTGGCCGCTCGAGCAGGCGGTAAGTGCGGTCCGCCAGACAGGGTGGCTGGAAAAACTGGTCTCGGCCGCGTCTGTGTGCTCGCCGCTCGTGTGTGTGCGTCGGCATTTCCAGGGCGGACTGCCTGTGCGAGAGCGGGACGAGCATAGCTGCGCGGCCCTGCTAATAAATCAAATAAGCGCGCCCGCCCGCCTGTGCGAGTGTCTGTGTGCCGGAGCGCTGGCTGGGTTGGATTTTGCGCAGAGCGCTGCGCCAATCAGCGGGCCGAGCGAGCGGTGCGGCGCTATTGCCGTCCCGCTCCGGCGCTCCATCGATCCGCGCTGCGCCCGGCGCTGCCATAAAAATGTCGTCTTGCGTTTATGGCAAGCGCTGTTGCCGCTTTTCCGCGCAGCTCCCAAACTCTGGAGGAATGTTTCGTGTAAATTTCGAGCTTTAAACATGGCCGATATGGGGTCTGCCCACCCAGTCCAGGGATCCTTGGGATCCTGGGACCCAGGGCCTTAGTGTTTGCGGCGTTTTCGCCGTTGGAGCGCGTCTCACGCGCATAGTTTTTGCTGGGTCTCCTCTTTTTTGGGGCCCAGCTATACATAAAATATATATGCATATATATCTGTCTATCTATCGCTGCAGTCTCCCTGCGTCTTGTGCAGCGCTTCTTATTAACCTAATGGGTTCGCCAAGGTAGCTGACGAATAATTGTGTAGGCAGGCAGTCGGCAGGTGGAAAAATGTATTAAGCAAGTGCACTGCAGTCGGCGACTGGAAGTGGGCCTTGCAGTCGGTAGCTCAGAACTCAGAACTTTGATGCGGTTTGGCATCCGCTCACGTATCCACCACACGAGCTGGTCCGTCCTCCGGCATTGTCTTAGGGGCCTGTTCTCGGTTCTCTGTATTCGGTTCTCCACCCGCCCCACTGTGGCCCCTTTTAATTTACCCTTCCCCGATTAATGCGTTTTTAGCTGGCTCTGGTATTCACTTTTTGGCCTGCCCATGAGTAAATCTCGGTTTTGTTTTGTTCGACTTTCAGCGGCGCAAAGTGATTGGATTCCAGTTCCCAGCTGGCTAGCACTACTCACTGCCAAGCAATGCACGTGGAAGTGATCCACAAAAATACTTAGTTTCCCTTTGCTAACACTTGGCCACATATACTAAAGAGTCTTGAAAATGTCAAAACTTAAATTACCATACAGCAAAGAACTGAAAATAGTTGTTAAGTGCTCCAAACAAATGTGTAAGGCTTATCAATGCTTACTTTGTTTAATAGACCTTGAAGGAAAATGGGTTTCTGTCAAAGGGTATTAGACATATGCAATTTGATTTATAAAACAGAAACATTTTACAACGTAAAATTAGGATTCCTGAATAAGTAAGATGCAAAGTGAATTATAAACTATACTCTTCCCTGTGAGCAGGCCCAAATCCCTCTTGTGAAATTCCTTAAGCATCTTCGCCTCGTTTCCTGCAAAGTCATCGAACACTTGAAGCGAGCTACTAACCCATTAAGAATGTATGAGGCAAACAAAGCCGATATGTGGGCCCGGCTGCCTGATGAATTTATGGCCAATTGCAAATCATTTGACAATGAAGCGAAAACACAGGGTAACAGGCATAATAATAAAGGCAAGCCGGCAAACAATGCGAAACCTGCCCCAGTAACTGACCTACAACAAAGCAGCATCGAAAACCGAAACCAGAACGCAAATCTTAACCGCAAAAAGTTGGCCAAAGAAGAGGAACAAGTCAAAGTCGTTGTTGATTCTACGGGGTCTATTGTGTAATGGCAATACAACTGCAGAAGAATAAAAACACATTCTCCGTTCATTATCAATGTACTTGCCCTGCCCGTTTGTTATTCTTGTGCGATTTCGAGTACTTTCGGCAGGCATCGATTCTTTTGATGGGAAGACTGTTGCTCTCTTCGGAAAGCCTTTGCTACCGGGACGGAAAAGCCGGTACCCGAAATCATAGGACCGAAAACCGAAAACCGAACCAGACCAAACCCAGACTTAGACCCAGACCCAGACTCCGATTCGGATTCGGATTCAGATTCGGGTCCAGAATGAGCGACGAGTAGACACTCAGACGGCTTTGTTGCTGCTATTTGTGTTTTATGTTTTATGTTTGACGTTCGAGCGTGCTGGGCGCGTGTGAATGAAAAGGAAGCTCACTCACAAACACTCGCAGCAGAGCCATGAGCCATTCAAAAACAAAGTCAAGGTCATTGCAAAGAGTTTTAATTGTTCACACACAAAAAACACAAATAAAATAAAAATACTCTCTCGCACACACACCACTGGGAAATAAAGCAGAAAAACACAATGGGCGGGAGCGCACTGCACAAACAAACGGGCAAACATTCGTACATAATAAAAGAAACAAACGCAGCAACAACTTCGGGAGCGGACAATGGCAAAATGGCAACCAGAGGAGCAGCGCCATCAGCAACAACAAAGGGAAGAATTGGCGAGCAAACAAGTTGGGCGAATCCGAGTAAGCCTATTGGGACCATGTGGATAAGGTCCCGCTCAAGACTCTGGCTAAAACTATTTCCATAGCCAGCACAGTATCCATTAATATCTGGAATTTCTTCTCGAGACTGGGCTCTCATTCTGGGCTCTGATGTGGTATTCCCCATACTGTGTCAGTGGTTAGTTGTAACTGTTCATCACAGAATGTATCTATTAATATCTGTAATTTTTACTCAAGACTGGGAAATATATTTTCATCTCATTCCGGGCGCTGATGTTGTATTCCCCATACTGTGTCAATGGTAAGTTGTATCTATTACAGCACAGAATAGGTGGAAACTAAGAACCCATCCTTATGTTATAAGCCCAAAGCATATTCACTACTTAGGTTGACTAAATGGATAATAATAAAAGCATTTGTCCAAAAGTATAACATAAAATATTTTACAAACCGAGTTTTTCGAACTAGTAAAACATCCATTCCTATATGGGGGTAATACAGAAGCTTCAAATTATTGGCCTCCTCTTCATGTTAATCATTTGCATTTTGTTTGCAGCACATAATAGTAAAAACCTTTTCCTGCCCTTCAGCGACCCCAATCAAAAGTTCCTCGAGGACATCGATAGCCTTCCACTGATATGAACCATATTGCATCCGTTTTGTTGGCCAAACTTTGGGCCACTCCCTGCCACACTCTGCGAAACTCGTCCTCTCTCTTTCCGACTCTGCCGCCGTGTTGACTCTAAACTCGGATCTGAATGTTCCCTAAATGCTTTGCTCTCGCAACTTTGCCGGCAACTGTTTTACGAGTTTATCCGTTTAACAACGCCCGAAAAAGAAAGTGGCGAAAAAATAAAAATCTGCAAACACTCACCCGGCCGAGAACAAAAACAAGTGCAGAAAAACGTATATTACGTATACGACCCGTCTCGACACTTGTAGACGTACCCACACTCGTTGGCAGGCGAGCAAGCGAGAGGGGGCTAGTGTGCGAGAGAGAGGCACTCACACTCACTCACACAGACAGAGAAACAGACACAGACCCTATTCAGACTTATTCATTTTACACATTCATTTCCTCATTCAATTCGCAATTGTATACGAAATTTCAATTGTTTGTTGAATGTATTATATGCGTTGTGGCTATGGGAAGGCAAAGGCCCTGTTGTTGCTACAGATGGTGATGGTGATGATGATGACGTTGTTGAAAATTGCATTCCCGGCGAAGTTCAGGTCGTTTTCGCATGTGTATGGGTATGTTGATACGAGTGTATGGATATTTGGCAACAGGTTGTTCTGCTCGGCGTCTAGCTTTTGAAATCCTGCCACTGGGAGACAAAAGGCCCTGGCTCTCTGGGTGTGTATACGTGTGTGTATCCTGATTGCATGATGGTGATAAGCGCGAAGTTCTGGCCATTGAAATTGCCAACGTGTTGATGAGTACCGCATTCATTCATTCGTTCATTCAGTCAGTCAGTCAGTCACTCCCCGCCTTGATTGTCGGGGCCTCCATTCTTCGTTCCCCATTCTGCTCCGGCTGGGTAAAAGTGAAAGTCGGTCGCTCGGGCAGGAATCGGAATCGGAATAGTTAGGATGGTCTGTCTGTCGCCAGCAGAACAATAAAATGGCATTAGTTTTTGGGCTCTGAACTTGATGCCAGGGCACTGGGAACAATAAAGGTGGTAGTGGGACGAAGGCCTGTCATCGATTTTGTGCGGTCAAACGAGAGGGATATACACACAGAGAGTGGGAGAGAGGGAAAGAGAGAGCTGCCCCACATTCCATATAGTCTATTCATAGGACGAACCCCCAAAGAGTTGAAAAGTGAAAGATGCAAATAATGGCTCGGTTCAGTTCAGTTCCGAGCAGCCTTCCAGTACTGCCATCCCTCTCGTAGACGGGGCGTGTTTGTCAGCCTGGGCGAACAATGAGCCAAAGATATAATATCTTATTGTTATTCTGTATTATTTTTGTGTCATTGAACTTATTTCGCCATAAAGGAAAAGTAAGTAAGGCCACCGGAATGTGAATGAGCGGGATGGCTAGACGGCGCAAGAGGGACAGCAGGACAGGCTAACGCAATCATAATCAATACAAAGGATGCAATTGTTTTTGCCAGCCTGTTTTTATACCGCTCTTCCTTACTTTCATGAAAGCTCATTGAGCGCCCACACAATAGGAAATTTAACTGTTTCACAGACCGCCGCCAGACAGATCGCCAGACAATTTTGCGGCCGACATTCAGCGATTAGGAAATTGATTTTTCATTGCTGAGCACTTTAACTCGCTGATGCCGTCCATTTTAAAGTTTAAGTTTCTTCATGGAAATTATGTAAAATATATTTAGTTAGTTAAGGAAATCTAGTGATTCCAACTTTAAATTACTTGAATCGATTGGTACAAATTTTGAACCACTTGAACACCTGGTTCCTGGGGTATATAAAAACTGAATACTTTTAAATTTCATTTGTTTGAGCTTTCTTTCGTTGTTTATATTGACACGTTCATAAAATATAAAAAATT